TTTATTGGTCAAAACGAGGATAATTAAATCCTGCTTTCCTGGTGTATTGGTTTGTGATAAGATTAAAATGAAATTGTAAATACAGAAAAATATATATTTTATATATATACAACTTTGAAAACAGTAAAATGTTATCCAACTGTAAGATACCATTTTTATTACAAAGAATGAAGTCATTGGAAGCAGACTAGAGAAAATGATGCAACTGAATTCGTTTGCTCTGTAGTCTTGCCAGATATAAAGGTATTTGAAGTATGGGAGATAGGGATTCGCACGAAATAAGGAGATCACCATTTACCAAACAAAGCAGCCAGGCTCCAAACAGACGTGGTTGTATTTAAAATACTGCTGTTGCCAGCATTTTATTTGGTAATAGCATTGTCTTTCTTTCTTTTTTTTTTTTTTTAAAGATTTTATTTATTTATTTGACAGAGAGATCACAAGCAGGCAGAGAGGCGGGCAGAGAGAGAGGAGGAAGCAGGCTCCCCTAGAGAGCAGAGAGCCCGATGCGGGGCTCGATCCCAGGACTCTGAGATCATGACCTGAGCCGAAGGCAGCGGCTTAACCCACTGAGCCACCCAGGCGCCCCAATAGCATTGTCTTTCAAAGCATTACAGTGGAATGCTGGGTGTGCTTTGTGGCATCACCAGCCTCTCTGAAGGGTGGAACCCAGCTTTGTCTCTCTTACAAACTGCCCAAGTGATTCTTAAGGACACCAAAATTTAAGATCGAGCGCAATACGGAACAACCCTCAAGATAAATCAATGTAAGTTATAAGGATTTTAATGAAGAGTTTCATTTAACACAACTGCTTTGGCTTATAAGGCATTTCCTCTTATTTATGAGGACAAGGTTAGATTTCCCGCTGCTCAGGAGCTGCTGGATGCCATGGAATAGCAGACGTCATGAAATCATTTATGGCTGGTGCATAATCTTATCTCTGAGGACCTGGGAACACAAGAGTAACCTCATCGCCATTCCTGTTGCTTCCACTGACTCCTTTCTCTTGTTTTCTGTTATGATAAAATATTGATTTCCTAAAAACAAAGCATCCCATGTAAGCTTTTTTTTTTCTTTTTTTTTTGGTAAGCAAGGCTCCTCTATTTCATTATATCTATGGAATTGTTGAGAGAGTCGCAGATGACAGCTTCTTTGGACACTCTGATAATTCATATTAACTACTGAATTAACACTGGGCTTTCTTTGGGCATAAAGAATCTCGATTTGGGTTATGTTATCAATTATGTATTCAACTTTTAAAATTCTGACCTTTGGATGTTTTCTCAGGAACAAATTACTCTTGCAAAGTAAGGATGAGGCTCATTTTGTGAGTTCTTACATTTCTTCCTCCATGTTAGGAGAAGGAGCTAATTACTTCTCTTTGTTTTCACACAGAAATAGGACACAAGTCTCAAAAGCTCCAATAAAGTGAGAGTGCCTCTAAAATTATGCAAATTAGGATCAGGATAACTGTATCCCCAAATCACAAAGAAGGGCAGTATCATTGATGATGGGAAGAGCAGACAGACGTGAGGGAAAGCATCCTGTCTCTAGGAAGAATGGCAACTAATCAAGAAACAGTTCCTCATCAAGGACAGAGTTAATTTCTATCCATGTTCCTCATCTGATACTCATGCTAACCTTATGAAATAGCTATTATGTCTATCTTACAGACAAAGGGATGGAGGTACAGAACAGTAAAATTGCCTAAAATTATCCACCTGATGAATAACAGAGATTATGAGTTAAAACTCAGGTTTTTTAAGGATACATTTTTGATTCTAAGGTCTACAACATTTCTGTGATGCTATCAGCCTCAAAATCATGCCTGAATAACCTGTTTCGAAACCTGGATTTACTGACTAGACCAGGGTCATGACACATGCAATGATACAGACAATAACACTTAATGTTTGGCTTAAGGAGAAAAAGGTACTCTGCATTTTCTCTCTGGGGTGGGCAACTTGAAAGTGACAAGGATGTGATTACACAGTCGTGCAGAGCTGCCAAAATAGCCCAGTTTGTCTAGGAAGCAGACATTCACTTTGAAAGTAGAAAATGGTGCAACAATTTCTTTGCTTGCTCAATCAATTTTTATAAGACACCAATGAGGTTCCCAGTACTGGAAAAGTCACTAGGAATATAAATGTAAAGAAAAATCTATGGAATAAGGGCAAATAAATAATAATGACTCCCCTGAAGGACAGTTAAGAAAAAGGAGGCTTTCAGAAAATAGAAAATATCGTTTTCTAGTTTGGAAACAGTCAACACCTACGGTATTGGTACCCCTGCTATCTTCATGGAGACAACCGAACTTCTCTTCTTTGAATGCGCCACTTGGAAAACAGAAATGGGAGACCCCCAAACACTGGAAGGCCTGCACTCTGGCCTCCCAAAACCCCACCAATGGTTCCCACTGGATGCCTTTACAGGGAAATGGGTGGAGAAGAGTTCCTTAAGCAGGTTATGTCTCAAGAGGAAGAAAAGGGTCTGAAATATCCTAAGCCTTTCCCCCTTTGGCTTCTAATGGAGAAAGAGAAGTCTTTTCCCAGGGGAAGAAGAATTTAAGGGACTGAAGGAGAAGGTCTAGACCATCTGGCACTCCATGAAACAGGAGGCAGGAGCTCTTCCAGGACTCTTCCTCCGGGTGCTGTAATTCCAGCTAGAAGTGGGACATAAAGTCTAGAAAGGCCAGGGGTTGGAGAACCAGGCAAGGTGTTTCTCTGGCTCTCTCCTTCCCACCCCAATCCAGTCTTCACCCTGCCCTCAGGCTCCTGGTTTGCTCTACCCTGCTCAGTGTCCTCCTTCAGTTCTTTGTCCTAGGAGGGGCATGGCCTGTTCTGTGGGATCTCACCCACCTGCCTCTCCCCTGTCTCATCCTTCCAGTACCCATCTTTCCTCTCCCTTACCACCACACATACCCGTGGTTTCAGCCACAGAGAACTTCTTACCATTCCTAACCCTCTAGAACATTCCTCATGATCATTGTTTATGACCCAGAAGAAAAGCCTCCTGGTCCTTGGATTCTTCTTGAAGCTCCTGAGCAGAAGAATTGGTTGCTTCCTCCTGGGTGTTCCCACAGCACTTCTACCACAACCAAACCACTTCTTGTGTTGCATTCTTATAAATGTTTTCATGGCCAGATTGTAAGTCTCATAACTAGAAGGACTATCATTTTCTCATCTCCATATTCCCAGCACTTAGCCCCATTCCAGGGCACACAGAAAGTCCCAACAACTGTTTGTTCAATGAAGAATGGACTGAATTAATAGGGGTACGCTACTCCCCTATCCCCCTCTCCTGAATCGTACTTGGAGTAGTTTTTTTTGATCCTCCTGCTTTGACACAAATCCCTGCTAATACAGCACAATTAGCCTGTGAGAAAAAAGAAGCAATCTGAAGATGGTTTCCAAATGAAAAGTTGGACATCTCTAGACTCCATCTCTAGGTGACCCTATAAGAACAGTCTTCCAAGGATTTTCTTTGTTAGAGAGTCTAATAAAGAAACTGAGCTCCCAGGCTCTGTGTTATCCCAACCCTCTCCACTCTAAGGAGAAATAACTAACTTGGCACACGATCTTCTCCATCCAGATCTTGTACAGACTTCCTCATTTTCATGTATTTATTCTCAAATATTCATTGAGCACTTTCTGCCTCCTAGGAACAGTTAAAGCATCAGGGGACATAGTAGTGAATGGAACAGACAATATTCCCTCCATGGGCTTTTAATTCTAGCAGCAGAAAGGGGTACAAAATAAGATAAATAAGGAAAATATATAGCATGCCTGGTAATGGTAAGTCCTCACGAGAAAAAAAATTAAAAAGGGGCAAGGGGACAAAGGTTTTAGGGGAGTTAACATTTTAGATAAATAGTCAAACAGGGCCCCTGACATTTGAGTAAAATTCTGAAGAAAGCCAAGGAGCAAGACATGAGGAAGCCTCGGAGAAGAGCATCCTAAGCAGAGGGAACCACAGAGCAAAGGTACTGTGGTAGGAATGTGCGTGGCTTTCTAAGAATCAACCATGAAACCATTGTGTCAAGATCAGAATGGGCCAAAGAAAGCCTATAAGGGATGAAGTCAGAAAGGTAAACATGATCATTGGAGGAAAGGAGGCCACAGAACTGAGAACCCAGGTTTTGGATGTGTCAGGGGTATGGAAATTGAAATCAGTGAATCCTGCAGGAGTATCAGCTAATACAACATGACCCAGGAGCCAAAGTATTTAAGAAATAAATGGGGGGAAGTGACCCAGGAGTTAGAAGATGTCAAAAGATGATGTTTGCTCTGTTGGCATTAGATTCAAATGTGGGGAACTCCAGGGAGGAGACAGGGATAATGGTTTGGAAGTGGCACTGAGGAGACAGGAGGGCAGGTGCCCCTCTCCTGGGCCCAGGGGAGAAAGCAGGGAGGGGAACCCTCAGGGTTTCAGTGGAGAATACAAACCAAAGGATAGCCCAGAGAAGAGGCTGTCAAGGTAGTGGGTCCTGCCTACAACTGACTGATTTCCAGGGGGCCCGGGGAGAAGATCTCAGGGTTCAGAAAGAGTAGGCAGGAAAGGCAGCTCTCTCTTACTCTCTTTGGTCATTCTTTCCCTGTTTTCAGTTTCATCTTCATCTTTTCCAAATTATCTTTCCCTCTTCATTCTTCTTTCAACTTCCTTCATTTCTTTGTGTTCTTCTAAGTTCTCCTGTCCTATTTTTCATTAGTAGTAATCTTCTTTTTCCATTTCCTTCCTGAATTACCATTCTTTATGACTCTAAGTCTTCTTTCTAGATTATCTTTTTAAGTGTCCTTTGGATAGGGGCCATTTTTTTAAAAATCAAGTTTCCTCTTTTCTCTTCCTGATATTTAATTCTTTTCTCTGGGAATGATTCATGTGGTTGTTTGCTTTAAGGATGCTTTGAAAGCCTCGGAAATTACTCCAGGGAATATGCTGTCAGTTGAGAATTTCTCAGTAGTCTTACATCCTTAACACATAAAAAGTGTCCCTTTCCTCACCTGGACTTTGACAGGTTCCATCCAGTGCTCCAGAGTGTCAGCAGTGATGTTCTCAGGCAGAATTACAGGATCACTAGGGGGAATTACGCACGTCGGGGAACACACTGCACCTGAAAGAACAGAAATTTACAGCAGAGACTTGAACTTCTTAGATCTCTGTCTTTTTATCCTGGAATAAATAACTTTGATTTTTTTTTTAAGAGCAATTACTGTCCACATTTTGGGTCACCACATTATCATGGTTATAGGCAGGGCTGATATTCATGTACTATGCACCTGTAAGGATAATTCTACACTCATTGCTAAAGATCCACTACCCCAAGTTACCTTCCCTTGACATGATGCCCACTCCTCTTTCTGGTGCAGCATGGCCCCTCCTCTGGATACTGAATCCCTGCATGATCCAGCCGTTAAAAGTTTAACTCCTTGTCCTGCAGACCTCCAAGACCCTACTCTAGGACTCTGGCCAGCCCAAGACTAAGCTGATTGACTGATGCCTTTTAAGTACATTCAATATGATTCCTGCTTATATGATCTCTGGAAGACTTATAATCATAGTAGTCACTACCTAAGGAATTTACCGGCTGGAGAAAAAAAAAATGGCCCAGAAATTATGAAGGCAGATTTATAATGTCTATTGTTTCACTGAAGTTCATTATGCTGGCAGCCAAGAAACCTATGTGATTAAAAGAGGAAGCAACAGGAAATTAGAAGCAGACTTTGGTCATGTGTTAGCCTTCTGAAGGAAAATCCTGCTCTGTTGCCTTGTATGTGGGGCCCAAGTGTCTTCTAAAACTCTATCCAAAGATGACATACTCCCAGGGTTCTCTGTTTCCTCATCTACAGATTTGTTAATCTCCAAGCTTCTTTTTGGCTCTCACTGTCTCTACTTCTATGTTTTTTTTGCAAACTTGTAAAATAATTCAAAATGCTACATGACTCCTAAGAGCTTTATATATGTGAGTGCGTGACATTTTAATGCAGAAATTAGAGAGTGGGGAGATGAGACTTTGTTCATGAAACACCACTCAAGAGGCCCTGTCCCAGCACCCCACTACTCCATGCCTGGTCATGAGATATCTTGGGGCAAAGAACAACCTAAAGATGGTAGAGAACCATCTCTGAAACTAACGAACTTTCTTATTCACTCAAATTATGCCCACTGGCACTATACAGTTAGAATGGCATGAAATTACTCCTGACCTGAGAAGCCTGGGTATCTCAGTCAGCTGAGCATCCAACTCTTGATTTTTGGCTCAGAGTCATGAGATCAAGCCCCATGTTGGGCTCCATGCTCGGTACAGAGTCTGCCTGAGATTCTCTGCGTCCCCTCACTCTCTGCCCCTCCCTCTGCTTATGTGTGTCCTCTCTCTCTCTCTTGCTCTCTAAAATAAATAAATAAATAAAATCTTAAAAAAATATTCCTTGCTTATGCAGTTCAGAACTCAGGGTTAATCTTACAAAGTTTTCCATAAACAGCATCTCTTTTCTGTGATGCTTAGGTCCAGCCAGGGCCAAGTTGAATTAACATCACTATAAATCAGCTCCGACCACAGAGACCCTTAGTTGCCATTACTTGATTAAGAATTTGCCCATAGGTTCTGGAGCCTGGTCCCCTGTAGGGAAAGAGTGGTTGAAGAGCAACACGAGCAAATGCAATCTCAAATCATTCCTTTCAGGAACTGTCTGCTCCAGTAACAACTGCCGGAAGAACGGAGAAGGGGCCCAGCACATGCACGGTGCTTGGCTACACATTCCCACCCTTCCTCTTGGACTAAACTCAACTCCTGCCACAAATAACTCCACCTCCTGCCTGCAGCGAGTGGGGAACATGACCAGACATTCCACAAAGAGCTCAGCAGCCACACCAATGTCACATGCATGTGGAAGGGTAAAAAGAAGGAGTTTGACATAAATTTTATTTTTTGCTGAACCACCTAAAAGTCAACTTGCATTTCCATCTACTCCTCAGAGAGAACAATGGCTCGGACTCAAACTCCAGCCAGGCCTAATAAAAGGATTATTTGAAAGCAGAATTTACAACCTCTTCCCAAACTTACCAATTCCGTATCCCTGTTCACACTTGTACTCCACAAAATTCAGCTCCGAGGGGGGTGGTGGGCATTCCCCTTGCAGGTTCTCACACAACTTGAACTCCTCAGTCCATAGTCCCTCCTTAGTGCAGAGGATGGGACGCTAGAATATCAAAGGTAAACATGTCCATGCTTGTTTTGTTAACTTCATTTAGAGCAGGGAAAAAAAGTGGTCTGATAAAATGGTAGTGTTCTCCAACTCTTAGAACCTGGACTAAAAGATACTTTTGAAATAATAAACCATGTTGTTACTGACCAAAAAAAAAAAAAAAAAAAAAGTCAAGACAATCTTTTGATGTTTGGATGTGAAGAAATCATGAACAATTTTGTCATTAATGAAATTTATTAACAATGTGTTGGATATACGGATTCTGTGAGCTGTTAACTGTAGCCCACATATTTGGAGATATTTTTGGAATTTTTTTCACAGATGGTGTTGTTTGCATGGATTCATCCATACTAGCACACAAACGCTGCTTGTAGCAAATGTCAGACATTTTTTTCAAGGGGGTATGATCTGGTGAAACCAATTCATAATTTTTCCAAAGGTATTTTTACTTTCTGCTTAAATAGACACATCATAGTTGCTTTTGATCTCACCAAAATTTTATTCCCTTTCTCCATATGTGTGCTGGTTTGTGTGACTCTTGGCTCCACATCCCCAATAATCACAAAGGATACTGTACGCAGTTCACAGAGAGAACAGTGTTAACTCACAAAACCCAAGAAAGCAAGATTTTAGAAACTGTAGATAACTCTCCCTTCATCTGGGGCCAATTCCTTGAGGCCTTAAACAATCAGTGCAAACGGATGTGTTTGATTTCTCAGGAGTCTCATTTCATGGCATGTTCTTTTCACATCTGTCCAGCAGTGCTTACCTTGGAGTGCTGGACACTGAGACAGACATGTGCCAGGAGAGCAGTCAAGGTCATTGATTTCTGCCTAGGAAGTTGGCTTAACTTCCTGTCTCATGTGTGTGTGTGGTGCTTGAAAAGAGTCAAAACTAAAATTGATTTTAATCACATAACCATGATAAGACTGTGGTTTTCATTTGAGACCTCTCACACCAAAATACTAGGGAGAATGGTAGTCAAATAGTGTTTTCAGCTTTGCCTTTGCCGAGAAATTTGTGTTTCTGTTCAGGACTTTGTTCTATTGAAAAATACAACATCAGCTTTCAGAGCCAGGTTAGGTCAGTGGCCATCCATGGAAGATAATCACATTGCCAAATAAAAAGCCCGTCATTTTTTGGAATTTACCCAGGTACCCAACCCTTCAGGTTTTTCCTTTTCCTTTTATCCAAGAGGAAGTTTTAAACTATTCCAAAAATGGGGTTATCTTCTGAATTTTCTATCGAATAATATCAACACAGCTGCTTAGAATCCCAACTTAGTAAGCCCCTGCCTATTGGGATTCGCTCTGATCATTTCTAGTCAACATTCTTGGATTGGTCATCAAGATTAGAGCACAGTCTGATCCAAAACCAAGTTCAAGTCATCTTACCCTTCCACTTTCTTGGTTACAGTTGAGCATGCACTGGCTGTTGAGCTCAAAGCCATTGGTACATTCATACATGCCTTCAAAGACAGGAGAAGGGGGCTCACACACCACTGGGACACAGCTGCCTTGCTCCCAGATTCCACCTTCCAGGCACTGTATCTTCAGGAAATTGCTGATGAGACATGAAACAAAATAGCCCATTAGACTCCCACAAGGAGGTCATGGGAGAAGACTGGGTTCTCAGTGATATGGGATAAGGATTAGCAAATAGGTAGGAACAGCTGGTTCTGGTTAACCAGAGGTCCTACCTCACCAGTCTAACTTCTAAGTCATGGATGTAAAAATCGTAGTGTACACTTAGCAGTGATAGCAACAGCTATCGTATGGTATCGGCACACCTTGGAGACATGGCAGGCTCCGTTCCAGACCACCATGATGGGATATCTCGCAATAATGAGAATCAAATGAAATTTTTGGCCCCCAGTGCATATAAAACTTATGTTTGCACTATACTGTAGTCTATTAAGTGTGCAATAGCATGAAAGTATGCAAAACAATGAAAGCTTAATCACATCTAGATTTTTTTTTAAACTGAGAGACACGTGACTCTTCCTTTTACTCAAACACTTAGAGAACATTGTAGTGTTATTAAACGGACTAATTCCAGTTTTGTTGTTTCTCAAGGAATATAGCAGCCCACGGAGAGGGAGGGAGGTGGGAGAACAACAGTCGGTCCGTGAAACAGTCAGAACACATACATTTGTTGATTAAGTTTGCTGTCATATGGTTATGGTTCATGGTGCCCCCAAACAATTACAATAATAACATCAAAGAATACTGATCACAGATCACCATAACAAATACAGTAATAATGAAAAAGTCTGAGATATTGCGAGAATTACCAAAATATGACACAGAGACTTGAGGTGAGTAAATGCTGTTGGAAAGATGGTACCAATAGATTTGCTCAGTGCTGGGTTGTCACAGACCTTCAATTTGTTAAAAAAACAAAAAACAAAAAAACAAACCAAAAAAACCCTGCAATATCTTCACAGCACAATAAAGCGAAACACAATAAAACAAGGGATACCTGTAATATTTGATATCTGACTCTCAACAGAGCTTGATAAATATCAGTGCAGAGTCTAGATTGTTTACAGTTGGGTTTTATTTAAGCCTTTTATCTCAGAGAAGCCTCACACCTAAGTGCACTGGGAAATGCTAGGTGGGATGAAGGAAAGAAAAAGTCATCACACACTCGGGAGACTACTCAGAAGTGATGTGGGGATCATCAGTGTTCATATGGTAATGTAATTGAGGAAGTTGCCAATATTCCTCAGTTCTCCAGAGAGGGGAGAAGGTGCAGCATAGAGATTTTCTTTTAAAAGAGAGACTCTTAGCCTGAACTTTAGAAGGGCAAGAACCTCATTAGAGATTACTACGGCCATTTTGTTTGTTTCCAAGTCCATCTTTTCCTTGGACAGCTTTCATGGCTTTTGTCAGATTCTCAAAGTAGGCATGACTCAACACTGTCCTGAAAGAACTGCTTTTCCTTCTCGTGCACGAACATGGCCTCCAACCAGAGAAGCTGCCTCGAGGTAGACAGACGTCAACAGAATTAGGTCTTGGTACTGTGAATTCCATTCCATTCCCCTTCTGATTCACTGCCAATTTGAAGGAGCTTTCCATGTTTCTGTTTTAATGCATCCACTTCTGATTCAGAGCAATCCTGGTTACCAGCTTGTGATTCTAAAACAGAAATAATTCCTTGGCCATGGACTCAACCATATGGTGGCCTTGAATTATTATTTTCCAGGGCCATGATGCTCTTTTTAAATTTCAATATGCCCACAACTTTTCATGACTGTCACATCATTATACAATGCCTCCTGTGTACTTCTCCAGTATTCCAATGTTATACTGAGTTAAATATTTATCACATCGTTTTATAAGTGTGCACATGTCTCTCTTTCCCAGTAAGGTAGAAACTTGCTGAAGGCAAGGATTGTGCCTTATTCTTGTTCTTAATTCCTGTTTTTAATTCCTCATAATAATCCCTAAATAATATCTGGCTTACATCTGGCATTAGTTAAGTATATTTCAAGTAGAATAATCGAACCAAAATTCACAGTGTGTTAGGCATATTGCATAGCACATTACACATGGTAACAAACTGAATGATCAGAATAGTCCTGATGAAATAGTATTATTATTCCTAAAAGAAACATACTCAGAAATGTGAAATAATTTGCCCTAGGTCCTATAGCACAGACTGCATTTGATTTCAAATAATTTAAATAGGGGCACCTGGGTGGCTCAGTCAGTTAAGCATCTGCCTTCAGCTCAGGTCACAATCTCAGAGTCCTGGGATCAAGCCCAGTGTCAGGCTCCCTGTTCAGGGGGGAGTCTACTTCTCCCTTTCCTGCTCCTCCTGCTTGTGCACTCTCTCTCTCTCAAATAAATAATATCTTTCAAAATATCAACTAATTTAAATAAATTTTAATAGTTTAACATAATTTGAACAGTCTCCACTTAGAAATAAGTGAAGGAGTGTTAGTTTTTATTGAGGCAAAATTATTATATAACATTAGTTTCAGATATGCAACATGACAATTTGATATTTATATACATACAAAGTGATCACCACAGTAACTCCAGTTACCATTTTCAGCACGCATTTGACCTCCTTCACCCACTTCATCTATTCCCAACTCCCTTCCCCTCTGATAACCATCTATCTGTTCTCTGTATCCATGAGTTTTATTTGTTCATTTGTTTTGGGTTTTTTAATTCCATGTAAGTAAAACATGTGGCATTTGTCTTTCCCTGACTTATTTCTCTTAACTTAATATCCTTAAGATCTATCCATGTTGTCACAAATGGCAAAATTTCCTTCTTTTTAATGGCTGAGTAGTATTCCGCTATGGAATAAGTATATACACTACATTTTCTTTATCCATTCATCCACTGATAGGAACTTGGTTGTTTCCATATCTTGGCTATTGTAAATAATGGTGCAATTAACATAGGGGTGCCTATATCCTTTCATATTAATGTTTTTATTTTTATTTTTTGGATAAAAAATGGAGTAACTGGATCATACTGTAGTTCTATTCTTTGTTATTTGAGGATCTTCCATACTGTTTTCCATGGTGGCAACACTAATTTACATCCACAAATATATACAAAGGTTCCTTTTTCTCCACGTCCTCTTCAACACTATTATTTCTTCTCTTTTGGTTAAGAGCCATTCTAACAGGTTTCAAAGAATATCTCCCTGTGGTTTGGATTTGCATTTACCTGACAATTAGTGACTTTGAACATCTTTTCACATGTCTGTTGGCCATCTGTATGTCTTCTTTGGAAAAATGTCTATTTAGATCCTCTGCCCATTATTTAATGGGGTTGTTTGGCTTTTTTGCTATTGAGTTGTATGAGTTCTTTATATATTTTGGATATTAACCCCTTACTGGTTATATGATTTGCAAGCATTATCTCCTATTCAGTAGGTTGCCATTTCATTTTCTTGATGGTTTCCTTTGCTGTGAAGCTTTTTAGTTTCATATAGTCCCAATTGTTTATTTTTGTGGCCTCTGATTTTGGAACCAAATCCAAAAATCCAAAGCCAAGACCAATGCTGAAGAATTTATCTCCTATGTTTTCTTCTAAGAGTTTAATGGTTTCAGGTCTTACATTCACATCTTTGATCCACGGGGGGTCAATTTTTGTGTAGGATGTAAGACAGCGGTCTAGTTTCACTGTTTCACATGTGGCTGACCAGTTTTTCCCAACCCCACTTATTGTCCCTTCCCCCTTGAATATTCTTGGCTCCTTTGTTGTAAATTAATTGACCATATATTTGTGGGTTTATTGCTGGGATCTCTATTCTGTTTTATTGATAGAAATGTCTGTTTCTATAACAATGCCATATTTTTTTTTACTATAGCTTTGTAGTATAGGTTGAAATCAGGGAGTGTGACACCTCTAGCTTTACTCTTCTTTCTCAAGATTTCTTCAGCTATTCAGTCTTTTGGCCCCACACAAATTTTAGAACTGTTTCTTCTAGTTCTGTGAAAAACACCACTGGGATTTTAATAGGGATTGCAGTGAATCTGTAGATTCAATTAACGATATTTATTAACAATATTCATTCTCCAATCCAAGAGTATGGAATGTCTTTCCATTTATTTTTGTCTTCTTCAATTCCTTTCATCAATGTCTTTGAGTTTCAGTATACAGGTGTTTTACCTCCTTGGTTAAAATTATTCCTAGGCATTTTATTCCTTCTGATGCAATTTTACATGGGGTTGTTTTCTTAATTTCTGTAGTAGTTTGTTATTAGTATATAGAAACAATTTTATTGATTTCACTTATTAGTTCTTCACTGAACTATTAAATACAATTTTGCTGAATTCATTTATTAGTTCTAATTACTTTTTTTGTGAAATCTTTAGGGTTTTATCTATATAAATCATATCATCTGCTGATTGTGACAGTGTTACTTCTTTCCAATTTGGATGTTTTTTATTTCTTTTTCTTGCCTAATTGCTGTGGCTAGGACTTCCAATACTATGTTGAATAAAAGCGGCAAGAGTGGGCATCTTTATCATGTTCCTAATCTTAGAGGAAAAGCTTTCAGCTTTTTACTCTTTAGTATGATGCTAAACAGTTATTGAGATTCATACTTTTATTCCCTGGAATATTTCAGGGTAGAAGTTTGATTTTATGATTAGAATTCTTAAGCATCATGGTTTATGAACATACATCTATGATCTGTTAATAATAAATACTATTTTGAGTTATATTTTAGATGTTTGGCAAAATATCTATATACATTATTTCACTGAATCCTCCAAATGGCAGTTAAGGTAAATATATTATTAACCGTGTATAGAATGGAACTGAGCATGAGAGAAATTTAAAGCTAGCTCAAAGATCCACAGTAAAAAGTATATTAGGACCAGGGCCTAGGTGAGTAGCTGCCAAAGCCTGTGGTCCTTCCACTGTGTCCAATTTAACTGTTCTTTTCATTCTCTATAGCCCACTTTGAATATTAATAACATCTCTATCGTATTCAATATCCCAGATGTCCTTTATCCTGATACCATATTTATAAGTCTGGCAAAAAAGGAGAAGATGATTCATTTTAAGTTTCTGTATTGAGTAATAAAT